TATAAGAAATGACAAAGACACAACATAATTACTAAAATTAAACTAAAATGAAAATGCAAACTACAAAATTACAATCTAATTCAAAATATTAATAAAAACTAATAGCATCTCAATTATATTACAATAACACTGAAAGATCTTAACACCTTTTTATGTAAAAAATGTGATTATGTGTTACCGGCATGAACACTAGCAGTGTTCTGGTAGCCTATATGAATCTCTGTTGAATTATCATTTAAATAAAAAAATATTGACGATTTAGGATCTTGTGCAGGGATCGAGGACCACAAGGGGGCCTCAGCGACTTTCAAGTTGTGTGAAAGACGGTTTAAAACTATTTAAAGTAAGTTATACTTAGTATTTTAATATATAAATATTTAAAAAACGATCAATTAAATCTGTTGTAGAAAAACTGAGGGATTTTGAGTAAAAAAGATTGATAACAACTGACAGATAATTTAACCGCTGCCTTCATTCTTCTTGACATGTTTATATGTGTCAGATATGTGAAAACACGCTGGTTAAAAAGCGTACGTTGACAGATTACGTTGGTTTGGGCACATTTTTGTGTAATAAGCTTCATGCTTCTGTGCAGCAAGTGAAGATGCACCTTTTGTTTCCTTGGGGATCATTTTATTTAAATTATGCTGCCACCTAGTGTACATTCATGCCGTTTACGCCAAGGAGCTCTACAGTAAACAACAAGCATTTCCACCATCGTGAGTGTTATTTCAACCTCCATTCCGCTGTCTTCTGCGTCTATGTATTGTTCTTTTATAGTCAATGATTTAACAGGAAATAATAATAATAATAAATCATCTGTATATTATACGTGGTGCCTGAGAGCAGAGTTTATTTATTAATTTATTTATTTAGGAATTGAAACATGCGGTTGATAAGAAAAAGGTAAAGATTAATTTTTACAACAACAAAAAAAACATCATTTAACATACTAAACAATATATATTCGGGAATAATATATTATAATATAATAATATATAATATATTGTTTCTCCAATAGAAGCAAATTCAAGATTCATAATATGTGTGAATGTGTAGCAGAGACATATCTGAGACTAGAGAGTGTTGGGAACAGAGCTCTGTTTCTGCTCGCTACACGTCGTTACGAAATGCAGCGAAGCGATTGGTCCGCTCGGTGGTTGCTATGACAACATATAGACTACAGTTCTCTAGTCTCACGCTGCTAGTGTCCAGCTGTTAACAGGCGGTTAGTTTCTGATATGTCTAAGAATAAGGTAAGAGGGTGACTTTTAAAACAAACGTATTTACAACTGAATTACATGATATTATGTTTCCGGTTTGGTGTAACAAACTTACCTTAAAACAGCAGACAGCTGGACCAAAAGGGGCCTACAGTTCACAGAAGAAGAAGGAAGGGTAAGTCTGTTAGCGTTTGTTTAATACATTCATCCTACAATTTGGGGCCTGTAAAATGTTATTTTATCTATTAAAGACATTATCACTATTATTCAGCTATGATGCACCAAACTGATGACAAAAATGACAGTATAGACGATTATAATGTTACAAATTTTTTTTTTAAATTTCAAATAAATTATCCCACGGTTTCTAGAAATGGTGTAATGTTTTCTGTTAAAAGTTTCTTGAGCAGCAAATCAAATCAGCATATTAGAATGATTTCTGAAGGATCATGTGACACTGAAGACTGGTGGAATCATGCTGAAAATTCAGCTTTCAGAAATAAATATTTTACAATAAAACAGGAAACAGATATTTTAAAATGTTTTCCTGTATTTTGATTAAATAAGTGCCGACTTTGTAAGCATAAGAGATCTTTTTCAAATTCATTAAAAAATCTTACAGACCCCAAACTTGAATGGTGTAGTAACTGCATTTTTAAAATCATTTTACAGTTTCTCTAAAGTTTAAACTTTAAACTGTTGTCTGTATGTATGTATAAAGGATAAAAGGTAGTTTAACAATCCAGTGTGGTTCATTTTCATCTCAGCGAGGGAAGGAGCTGTATACGGTACAGATGTGGCCTGACCAACACTATACAGGACGTCCTAAACCAGAGACCAGGCTGGGTAGAGGTGAAAGAGTAAGTGCTGTGCTTCTCCGTTGTGTGTCCCTGTGTTTCATGCTTGCATCATGCATTCATGTCTCTCCATGCAGTGATGGCGATTGGGACTTTAACTGGTGTGATGTTGGGTGGCTAAGAGAGAACTTTGATCACTCGTACATGGAGGAACATGTGCGGATATGTCACTTCCGCAACCACTACGAGGTCTGTATTATACAATTTATATGCAGATTATTACAGATTACGACTGAATGAATGTGTACAGAAAACAGGCATGAATTGTTTGTATTTTTCAGCTGACCCGTAAGAACCTGATGGTAAAAAACCTGAAGAGATATAGAAAAACTTTAGAGCGGGAGGCTGGGCGTTTAGAGGCGTCCAAATGCGACTTTTTCCCCTGTACGTTTGTGCTGCCCAGTGAGTATCACATCTTTGTAGAAGAGTTTAAGAGAAGCCCCGGGAGCACCTGGATCATGAAGCCTGTGAGTGTTTATAGCAGTGCACTGTGTACAATACTGCCAAACTGATCATCAACAGGTCATCCGTTATTACCAAACTTTCCGAACACAGGTGGCACGATCACAGGGGAAAGGAATTTTTCTGTTTCGAAAACTCAAAGATATCATTGATTGGAAGAAGGTAATACACATTTGACACACTGACTCTGACAGGAATGTAAGTTCTGTGATTATTTACTATCGTCATCCCAAGTTTTATGTTGTGCACTGATGCTGTTGTTGGTTTTAGGATGGGTCCCGCTCTGAAGAACAGAAAGAGGAGGCTCAAGTTGAGAGCTATGTCGCTCAGCGCTACATTGAGAATCCCTACCTCATAGCTGGTATGTACCCATAATACAGGTGCATCTCAATAAATTAGAATGTCGTGGAAAAGTTCATTTATTTCAGTAATTCAACTCAAATTGTGAAACTCGTGTATTAAATAAATTCAATGCACACAGACTGAAGTAGTTTAAGCCTTTGGTTCTTTTAATTGTATGATTTTGGCTCACATTTAACAAAAACCCACCAATTCACTATCTCAACAAATTAGAATACTTCATAAGACCAATATAAAAAACATTTTTAGTGAATTAGTGAATTGTTGGCCTTCTGGAAAGTATGTTCATTTACTGTACATGTACTAAATACTTGGTAGGGGCTCCTTTTGCTTTAATTACTGGCATGGCATTGGCATGGAGGTGATCAGTTTGTGGCACTGCTGAGGTGGTATGGAAGCCCAGGTTTCTTTGACAGTGGCCTTCAGCTCATCTGCATTTTTTGGTCTCTTGTTTCTCATTTCTCACCCAGTCAAGCACACCAACACCATGGTCATTTAACCAACTTTTGGCCAACATTTCACTAAAAATGTTTTTTTTATTGGTATTTTTCTTATGAAGTATTCTAATTTGTTGTGAATTGGTGGGTTTTTGTTAAATGTGAGCCAAAATCATCACAATTAAAAGAACCAAAGACTTAAACTACTTCAGTCTGTGTGCATTGAATTTATTTAATACACGAGTTTCACAATTTGAGTTGAATTACTGAAATAAATGAACTTTTCCACAACATTCTAATTTATTGAGATGCACCTGTATATAATACATATAATAAAACATATAATAGCTTCAATACTTATTTGATTTAGCTCATCTTTTATTATTATTACTGAACGTATCACATGTTTTATATATGTGTGTGTGTGTGTGTGTAACATGTATATGTTATATCTATCACCAGGGAGAAAATTTGACTTGAGAGTCTATGTTCTTGTCACATCAGTAAGTGAGCTATTTTTTAATGAATTTTTTTTTCATGAATATCCAATGCTGTTTTTCAAGTACTTTCTCCAGCTGCAGTAGGAAACTTGAAAAAAGCCATTAATTTTGCAATTTCACAGAAATTATGGTGCATTTACACCATGTCAGAATTAGTGCAATTATGAGATTTCAATTGAGTTACAACATTAATAAACTATGAATTTACTCTTTGCTCTGACTTGTACCACCTGATTGTTCAACATCATGAATAAACACTCGAAATGAAAATGGCATCAGCAGTATAAAGCAGTTATTTTGTAATATTTCTGTTGAATAATTCCTATAGTTGACTGTATTGTTAATGTTATAATAGTACAAGAAAATAAATGCAAGTCATATAGTAGTTTAATGTTGCTCACACAGAACCGAATAGCTATCTTATATCCCTTTAAATAAACTTAAGTTTATTAATAATGCATTTTCATAACAACTGTTACTTGTTGTATTGTGGTTTTGTCTATTGATTACTGAAATTAGAGATTTCTTTTGCATCAACAGTGGTGCTACACAGTATTACACACAGCATTTTTGTTGTTGTGGTTGTTTCACACTTCACATCACTGTTGCATTTTCATGTTTTGAATGTTGTAAAGCTGTGCAGGCAACACAAAAAGCATATTTTTGTTTTTCGCAGTATATTCCATTGAAGGCCTGGCTGTATCGTGATGGTTTTGCTCGATTTTCCAACACCAGGTTCTCTCTTAGCAGCATAGACGATCAGTGTATCCTTTTGCATACATTTCTGAAATACACACACCCCCAATTTTATATTACGCCCCATAGTACAGGAATTCACTTGTTTGTCCCCTTTAACCTTGAAATACACAGACGTTCATCTCACTAATGTTGCAGTGCAAAAAACATCTCCTGATTATGATCCTGAGAAGGTATGTTGGAAGTAACTGGACATACTGTACTATTATGTTCATGAAGATATGTTTTATTAAAAAGCAGTAATCTATCTTTCGCTCTCTCTCAGGGTTGTAAGTGGCAGATGCAGCAGCTACGGCAGTACCTGACCGCTAAGCATGGTTTCGAGACAGTGCAGACTCTATTTAAAGAAATTGACAACATATTTATTCGCAGCCTGCTTAGTGTTCAGAAGACCATCATCAATGACAAACACTGTTTTGAGTTGTACGGATATGACATACTACTGGACCAGGATTTAAAGCCGTAAGAGTGCTTTATTTCTGATTGCTTAGTTTGACAGGATACTTAGCAGAACTGAATGAATGTGGGGATTGCATGGCTTAAAAAAATGACAGCACAGTTTGCCGTTATGCAGGTGGCTAATTGAAGTGAACGCTTCACCCTCCCTCACAGCCAGCAGTCAGGAGGACTATGAGCTAAAATACAGACTGCTGGAGGACACCTTGCACATTGTAGACATGGAAGGCCGGTACGGTTTGACAAAATAGTATAAAATTACATGAAAGAAGAGTGTGGAGGATTGTGTATGTTGACATTGTTGTCCAAAACATGCTTTTCCACTTAGTCTGACAGGCAAGGAGAAGAGGGTTGGCGGATTTGACCTAATGTGGAACGATGGACCTGTCTACACGGATGTCGGACTAGAGACTCTGGGTAGTTCTTGCCTCGTGGCAAATACACATCTCGGTCAGTGTCTTACATTGCCTCAATGGAGATCTTGGCCTGTAGTACACTCAGTGAGCCTGTTTCTGTGCTTAGTTGAGCTTAGTAGTTTTTGTACACTCTTAGACATTTTTTGAATGTCACACAGTTAAACAAAAAATATATTAATTCACAGTGCATGCATGATACTTCTAAAAAATAAAGTACCAAATAGGGCTTTAAAAAGTCTAGAAATTTCTGTCATCAAAACTTCCAAAAACTGTATGATCATAACATATTTGGAGCAATTTAGCATTGCATCACTTGCTCAGCAATGGATCCTCAGCAGTGAATGGGTGCCGTCAGAATGAGAGTCCAAACAGCTGATAAAAACATCACAATAATCCACATGACTCCAGTCCATCAATTAACTTCTTGTGAAGTGAAAAGCTGCTTGTTTGTAATAAACAAATTCATCAATAAGACATTTTAATATTAAACCGTCACTTCCTGATTCAGATGAGACAACTTTTTTATTGGAGAAAGCAGTATTATGGATAGAGGACTTGTATTTAAAAAAGTTTATTACCTCTTCATGATGCATTTGTTTCTTACAAAGATGAAGCTTTTCACTTTACAAAATGCTAATTGATGGACTGGATTCATGTTGTGAATTACTGTGATGTTTTTATCAGCCGTTTAGACTCTCATTCTGACGGCACCCATTCACTGCAGAGGATCCATTGGTGAGCAAGTGATGTAATGCTAAAATACTCCAAATCTGTCAGATGATGAAACAAATCTACATTTTGGATGACCCGAGGGTGAGTAAATTTTAAGCAAATTTGTATTTTTAGGTGAACTATTCCTTGAAGTAAATATACAAATTAAAATGTATAAAAGATAAAACAAAATGTATTTTTTTAATAATAATGCAACACCTATAACATTACATATTATAGCAGCATTTACTATCATCTCCCAATACAAATGGTTTTTGTTTGCTTTGTATTACACAGGCTGCGTGAATGATCGCCAGAAACAGCTTCAACAGCTTTTAAAGCCTTTCCCAGGACAGAAGAGGACATGACAACATGCAAATGACATCAAATTAGTGTGACAAACTATTCATGACAATCACACAAATACCCACAATTGTTATAATATGCACCTAAGGATTCAGATGATTGTAAATAGGAGCATTTAAATACCCAGAAGGCATAGCAAAGTCGCTGAAAATTTTCATTCACAACCTGAAAATGACACTGTCTGTGCTTGTTCTGGTTTAATGAGAACATAATGACGGTATCAATTTCCACATTAAAATAAATACTGTAGACGGAGGCTTTGATGATGTAATGAAAACTCTTTATTTTGTATCTCGTAAAAATAGCTGCATTCAACTCTACCAAAAACTCCCAGCAAAATAAAAGCACAATCTGACAATGATAGGACAAAAGTAGATTTTTGTGTGTTTTTGCCTGATAAGGGAACTTGACACAGTACATAACATACAAGATGAAATGGTGCTACATACAGTACATCAAGTATGAAAATGTGGTACCATGTACTGTATGGCCTCAACCTGTACCAGCTTTCAAGTCATATTCAAGTGCCTTGACAATGCATTACAGTACATATAAAACCACTACCATCATTGTTCCTGTAAAAATAAACAAAACATGCTATATTTACAGACATGAAGTACAATGTAATCACCTGAAAGGTTCTCAATAAGTAAACAAACATAGATAACCTTGACCATAATATCTTATAGGGGTGGGAATCTTTAGTCACCTCACGATCCGGATCCGATTCTGGGAGTCACGATCCGATTCCAGAACGATTCTTGATCTACTTTTTTCCTCCCTTATTAATTAATTAGTTTACCGACTTGAGAATCTTAAAATCCTTACATTTACATATCCTTACATAAGTAATTAAGTACTTTTTTAAATAATTACAAATTGAAAAAAATAATTAAAAGTTGTATGTTAAGAATTTTATACTAATATAACTTCAAAACTTACAAGCAAGTAGCAAATAATAAAGAGGAGCATAGAAACATATTACAAACAAAGAGTGCTTTAAGTATTTAAGATTATCTGAACGTTTTCCATTCAAGAACTGTGAGTGATTTTTCTTCATCTTTACTGTTGTTGTTTTTTTACTATGACATCATAGACAGCGGGAGATCTATTAAGCTGCATTCACGCACGGATCTCTGAAATATAAGAAATAATGTGGTTTGTCCTGTCCGTTTAATACCTTAAGACATAACTGGCTGTTTACATTAATTTTGCGTCATAAAACCATTTTGAAAATACGGGTGTTTCTAAAGCAAACTCGGTGTCATCGCGCATCTGGTTAAAAACTAAGCTCAGAATCAATTCTGAAATTCTCAGAATCGTTGGAGAGAGAATCGCGATGCATCGATGGATCGATTTTTCCTCCCACCCCTGATATCTTAACAGTTTACAGCTCAGGTCCTTCTCCAGCAACACACCACAAAACCACCATAAGCAATCCTAACAATTCACAATTCAACTACATCTAACTCACTGAAAACCTAAGTAATGAGTTCCAAAACATTCAAAGATAAAACATTCTTATTTAACTTAATACATGTCAACTCGTTGGTTTAATAAATAACAAGAAAATAAGTCCTTGTAAATAGCACTTTACAAAAATACACAGTCATTACAAAACATTCATTATTCATCTCAAAAAATATACATTCTTTGACCAATAGTGCTTACTAGACAAAGCCACACGCTGACATTCTCAGCCATACCTCCGTCAAATAAGAGATATGTGCACACTAGATTTAAGTACATTTATTTCATTTCATAGAGGATTTGTGCGTACAGTATGTAAAGATAACCTGCTTTTGTGTACTTAGGCAGATAAAATAAATATATCTTATTCAAGAAATGCACTTTAAAGTTCTAATGAAACAATGACGATGAAAAGGCATGATTTCTAAAGAGACGGATACGTTTTTTTTGAAAGTGTGGTCACATTTGCAGTTGTCCGGCAAATTTTCATAGGCAAAATCCAAGCGTTTTAATCAGAATCCATGCGATCCTGTGCACATTTCAAGTTGGTCTGTGTTGACCGACAAAAAGCTGAAAGTGACTTCTGTGTGAGTTATTAACAATAAACCTATTTTTTCCCCCTCGAAATGTCGCCAAAATTTTGCCAATGTGACGGCACTTGTATCCTTTTCACAAACAACTACAGTTAAGGATAATATTATGTTTTAATTAGCTCTTCTTTACAGTATGCAAAATGGAAATGTTTTTGAGGCAACTGAAAATTGCGTGAAAGGTGCACTAACTACTTGGCATATTGAGCATTTTTCACTTTGCCAGTAGTCTTGGTAGCTGACGTCACTTTTGCATCGCAGCCATCGGTGACCGTTCTTTTAGTGCCAGATCTTAATCGTACTTCACCAGTTTCGGCTCTCGGACCATCCTTAACCATTTTTTTCCCTGGACCACCACCTTCGCGTTTCATACCGACAGGATCCCGCCTATCAACCCCTCCACATTTTGCTCCAGGTGGATCTTTCTGTTTGTCTACCTCGTTTGACCTCGCAGTCTTTCCTTTCCTGACCGAAGAATGGGATTTGCCATTTGCGTTAAGTTCATGGGACGCCCTGCGCACGTTTCCCGCAGACTGCATGTGCTTCTGGTGAGCCTTTGCCGCCTGAGGACTGACCGGTTGCTGGTTTTTCGAAGTGGTGCGGTTTTCGGAGGTGGAAGCCCTGCTTTCGCTGCTGCTCCTCTTTTGGGTGTTGGCAGGGGGAGCTTTGCGCTCTAGCAGGGGGCTGAGACGGGAATGCCGCTGGTAGGCGTACAAAGAGCAGGTGCCGTTGCAGAGCGGATAGCGGATGTGGCAGTAAGGGCAGACGGGACGAGAAAGCTGGGTGGATGATGGGCTGGCCATTGAAGAGAAGAAGGCCCGTTGACCCTGCCGAAAGCTTTTCGGGGAGCTTAGGCGTGTCGGAGGAGCAGTATGAGGCCTAGGCCGGTTGCCGTTCACTAGGACACTTGCGGCGTGACCTCTTGTTTGGATGATGGGAACTATGTGCCGTCCGCTCTCAGACTGTATGGTTTGGATCTGGTGCCACTCAAGTTGAAGGAGGTGCTCTAAATACTTCTCTAGCTGCCCTACAGGTTTGGGCCGGGGAGCCCGCTTACCCTCAGTGTTGAGGAAGATGGCGAGCTGCCTCAGACTCCAGGTATTGAACGGAGGAGGCAGGAAGTCTGGGTAGCTATAGCTGACTTCATTGTTCTCCACCGTCCTGGGTCCAGGTATGTGAGGATGCAGGTCCATGGAGTTGATGACCTCAGCTCGGAGGTTGAGCTGAGGAGGAGTGCAGGGGGAAGGCAGCACAGGGAGCCTCTCAGAGTCGGACAGGTCGCTGGCGCTGTCCGTGTCATCCTCCTTGTGCTCTAGGAGGCGAAGTGAGTCCAGGTCTGGGACTTGTTTCTGTGGAGTGAACTGCTGCAGCATTGGCCGAGGAGTCAAAGGCAGCGATAGAGCACGACGGCTCTTCTCCAAGGCCACGTGGCTCAGTACCATCTCTTTACAGTACTGAGGCTCCAGCTGGATCTTTTGCCTCTCCTGTCCACGCTCGGGACAAGAGAGTTTGGGACGTGGAGGCCTCAGGTCTGATTCACCCTGTGTGCTGCAGCAATAGTTCAAGTGAGATATTTTATCAATATACTGTATTTATTAGGGCTGGGTTGACAACACTTGTGATTACTTTGACTTTCGTGGACTGATATCATTCTTAAATTCCAAGATCAATTCTGCTGATGCATGAACAAACATCACTAATGTTTTTTTTGTAGCATGTCTCCCATCTAATAATCGTAATAACTACAATTTGATCACAGAATTTAAAGAGTAAAATCACAATATTTTAGCAATCATGCTATGTGTTTTCTATCAGGCATTAAGAATCAAATGATGCCACATTCACAGATGAATCACTTGTTTCTGATCTAATTAGTGAAATGGGTTTCCAAAAAGGTCTGGAATTGTTTGTGATGCAGTTTGGTTCATTTGGACAGTTCACGTACACGCTGAATTGTTTCCAGTGGTTTCTCACATTGAAACAGTAACAGATTACTTTATAAGACAGAAGAGAGTGCTGGATAAGACAATAAGACAAAAAGAGTGCTGGATGAGGTGGATATTTACCTACAATCCATTTAAGGAAACAAAACTCAGAAATGTCATATTGTTTGTCAGTGATGATGAAGCAGATCTTTATTATGAGTGCAGCCTGTAAATGGATCTACTGCAGGTAAAGACAATTGAATTTCTAACCAGATATTCACTACAGTATAAAAAAAGGAGTATTTTTTAATGGTAATGGTGAAAGAAAAGCTAGCAGAATGAGCATAAGATATGTTGTAGATAATAGGGTGGAGCATATATAGTGCATTATATTACATATTCATTACATTTTTATCTATTAGTGATGTCTTAATGCACGTTTGAATAAATCTGTGGTGTTAGGAGTCACCATTTAAATTTCATCAATGAAGGAGTAGAAGCATAATTTTATCACTAGAAAGTTATAAAAAAAAAAAACTCCTGATATATAACAAAATGAATCAATATCAAATTGAGCTTGTGAATCGGAATTGTAAAATCTGTGTCAATACCCAGCTCTAATTTGTATCACTTTGTTTCTGATTGGTCAATGGCAGCATTCTATAGTGAAATATATCCATTTGTTTTATTTAATTTTGTTCTTTTTTTTT